TTCACTCTAGTGGAAGAGAGTCTAGCCACAATCCGCATCAAAGCGAGATTCTTCAACATCTCATTCATATGTGTCAATGCCCCGATGGAAGAGAAGGACGAGGCATCCAAGGCTCTCTTAGCTTAGAGCGTACATGCCAAGGTGGGCAACGAAGGGATCTTTGGCGCCAGTGTCGGAACAATCAACCTCCACATAGAAACGGCGGGCTTAGGGTGATCGACTTCACCAGGGTCCGAAACTTGGCAGTATGTATTACTGGGTTCTAGCATAAAAAAATATAACAAGCTACATGGATGTCTCCACACCGAAAAACGGGAAACGAAATCGAGCATGTTGTGATAGACGGAAGGCATACTTCCACGTTTTAGATGTACATACGTACACTCCGAGGGTCAAACATCGACTCGCACTACTATATTGATGCATCCAATATACGACCGATCCTCGGAGCAGCAAAAAAGGGCCCCCAACAATGCAAGGAAAGTTCAACGTCGAAAAGCTGCAATCACAGACGGCCAATGGTTTTAGCTTTCGCTCGACCTTCACACCTGCTGTGAGAGAGCACTCTTCAACAAATGGACTTGCGCGAGCTGTAGAACCACATTTCCCGCTCATTACTGGTACGATGAGGAGTGTGAGAAAATGCTTGAAATGCTGGACGACAGAAAAAAACACACGTAATTTTTAACAGCGAGTTGAGCGACTTACGGAAGGTTTCAAGACTCTTGTGGGAGCAACCATGGCGACCTAGTGACCGATGTCCAGAACGTACTCAGATTATGTAGGGAACACTTTTCGACCCTTTTGAATGGCAGAATCACAGAAAGAGGTGGAGAAGACGAACCCGAGGTCCAACTCGATGACGAAGGAGTCGATATCCCAGCGCCTGACTATGACAAAAAGTGCCAAAGCTCCTTGAGCTGACGGCCTGTCAGCTGAGCTATCTAATAACGATGGCAAGGAGGTAATAAGGTGCATGCCCGACGACTGGAATTCAAGTGCGCTCTGCCCGATCCACAAGAAAGGCGACCCCGCCATGCGTGCCAACTACCGCGGGATCAACTTTCTAAGCATAGGTTGCAAGGTCTTATCGAATGTATTGTCTACCATAGACCAGGTATTCACAGCACGCCAAATCTTGGAAAAGACCCGCGAGAAAAGGATCGGCACTCACCACCTATTTCTCGACTTTAAATCCGCTTTCGACAGCACTAAAAGGAGTTTCCTATATGCCGCTATGTCTGAATTTGGTATCCCTTAAAACTCATGCGGCTGTGAAAAATGACGTTGAGCAATACCACCAGCTCTGCTCTGTTGCCGTTCGCCACCAGACGGGGTTTCAGACAGGTCGACTCTCTTTCATGTGACTTCTTTAATCTGATGTTGGAGAAGATAATAAGATCTGCAGAACTGAACCGTTTAGGAACAATTTACTACAAGAGCGTACAATTGCTGGCTTATGCCAATGACACTGACATCATCGGTAAGAAAAACTGCGAAGTCTGCCCTGGCTTTTCGAAGTTGGACAAGGAAGCAAAGCGAATGGGTCTGGTGGTAAACGACGACAAGACGAAGTATCTCCTATCATCAAACAAACAGTCAGGACATTCGCACCTTGGCACCCACGTCAATTTTGACAGTTATAATCTCGAGAAAGTAGAGAATTTCGTTTACTTGGGAACCATCATTAACACCGATAAAGTCACTCATTATGCCCGTGCTGATAGATGGCGAATTAAAATACAGCGGTTCAACTGCTCAGCTCTGAAAGTATTCTAGCTTCACTTGGCATTTCCAATTGGAGTCAGTTGGCCAAAATCGCTTTGGCGGTTACAGCGCCAAATAAGAAGAAGAAGAAGAGAATAGATCTATATCTATTATCAGACACACAGTGTTATAATCCCGACGAAATCCTTGACGGTGGTACCGGGAGGGGAACGGTACAAGACGGTAGGAAGTTTAGTTTGGGTTAAACTCTCACACGGACGGGGTTAGGCTTTCGATGCTTCCTCCTCGTAAAATAAACATGCTCAATAAAATGTTAACAATTTAAGTCGACGAATAGTTGTATATCAACTTTTGTGAACTTCTGTTTATTTGTTTTTTGTACAACATATTTACCTCTATTGGTTACAATAATTATAAGCTATAATAAACCATTTTTTAGTAAGTAAGTTATTGGTTTTACTTTTTTTTTTGCATCGAAGGAGATTAGTACTTAACCCAAATATTATCTCACCGCTATTATTCTTGGCTTATGAGCAAGCAAGGTCCTGCTGTTCAGTCGTTCCAACCTAAACTAATATTGTTTTGGATTACAAACCGTTTTTGCATAGCAACATTATTTTTGTATTGGTTAACGCAAAAGTTCATATATGGCGTCGCGAAGCAAGCCAGGCATTTGCTAGTTATTTCATAAATATATAATGCATTATTTCGCGCTGTGACGATGGCGTTAAACATTTTTGTCTTTGGTTCTCTTTCCTTTCTCAATAATAACGACCAATTTCGAAATTATAAGATTTCTTCTTTTTTCTGTTATATCTGGAACACCGATGTGTAAGTAGGTTTGGTGATTAACTTAAGTTTATGCCTGAATTGTCTTCTGCACACAAGGTTAGATAATAGAGAATGGTCGGTTTCCCACCTCAACCTAAGCAATTTGGCATGCATTTTCATTGTGATCTTTTACCAACAGACGTTATAAAAACTAGGGTTTAATATCCCTCTGCACATGTGCTGTCGATTGTAAAAACTCCCAGTGTATGTATTATAATAGTAATTATAATTATTTGTTTATATACATAAGTATATTATGTGCTTTTATTAGAGTCAAACAAAAAACCTGTAACCGATACGATCTGATACCCTACACTACTCAATCATATTATTTTTAAGTGTAACCCTATATTATGAATTCGTCCGCTTGCATTTTGTTATCCCATATTACTAAACGATGTTTGTTGTATGAAATCCGATAGTTAGATTCATAATAGGGGGGTTAACCAGATTAACATTTGGCAACACTGCTTGCGAGGCGAAGAAATTTGGCAAAGCGAACGGTTTGGGGAACACACCTAAAATTTACATTAAGGATCTGTGCCAATTGATAGAAAAGAGGAAATTTTGATGGATCAAAGTAAAAGTTTGGCATTTCTCGAGGTTAATACGAATACCTACACCTGGAATGAATACAGCTTATAAACATGTATACACATAAAATTGCTTGGCGGTAATAAAGAGTGAACATGAAAATTAAATTATTTGTTTTTCTTATTTTTTTGGCCTTTATAACAGTTATATTCAACAATTTATATTGAGCTCGAGGCCGTTTTAAATGAAAATTTTTATTGTGGAAAAGCAACAATAATTTGAAAAAATGGTAGAAGTGATAGCTATTTCGGAAATCACCACATTTCCTCATCAGACTTCTTTCAGTAGGATTCGAACCGACGATCCCACTGGCTCGAGCTCAATATAAATTGTTGAATACATGAAAATTAAAGCTAAAAAAGCACAAAAAAAGTACGTTATTTGCAAGTTACAAAATAAACATAAATTTTAACAATTCCAACAACACACAAAAATAGAGCTTCCGCACAAGCGTGTGTTTTATTTTCCAACTGTCAAAATTTTACTTTGTATTTGGCACAGCAAAATTCAATTTATTTGTACACCATAGCAAATTTTTTCACCCCGGCTCATCACGGAGAAAAAAGTTGCCGATTGGCACAGACCTAAGAGTGCAAAGAACTTTTACAATACGTTTCGCGATTTTTTGCTTTCTGGGTATATATAGTATATACATATGGGCTGATTTACCAAATACATATTGAGTTTTTAACTAACTTACCATTTTTCCACATAAATAAATAAAAAATAGACATATTTTTTCTAATAAAAGTGATTAAAATTTTATTACAATTCAGTTAGCTACTATAAAATATATTCGATTATTTACTTTTAATATTTGCCTTTTTTGTTCAAAGACATTATAAAATTTTCTCTTTAAAAGTTTAATACAGGATTTTAAATCCAGCTGAGAGATATACATACATTTATTTATTTTATGTTTGCCTATACTTATTTGTTGTATGTGTGTATGTATATGCTTGTATTTATGTATAGAATGTATAGTCTCAATAAAATTAATTTAGCTACACACGTACTGACCTCAATCTTGCGTACGTGCATGTTTGCTTCAGGGCGGTATTGATCTTACTTTATTAGTTGTGCATTGAATTTACACCTGTATGTTCGAATTTACCTTGCTACATACATATTCATGTTTCTGAACATATCTAATGTATTCTTAAACAAAATTGATATCGTAGTGTAAAAAAATTCATTTTAATCTTTTTGTACAAATATGCACACATATATAGACAAAACAGTTAAGCAATACAAATTTATACGTATTATATGTACATACAAACATAAATATACTAAATTATTTGTGCAAATACATGTAAATGTTATCAGAGATACAATCAGTTGCTCTCTTAAAATTGCATTTCCAAACGCTAGGAAATCAAATTATGAACGGAATGGTGCAAAGGGATTAATTTACTTATAATCAAATTCAAGGTATGTATTTTAATTGAGGAATTTCTCATATTTTTGTGGAATTTTTCTTCTATGCTAAAAAATGTTTACGAATTTTGGACGATCGTGTTTCACATTTTATGTCGTTAAAATTTTGTTCATCGATTTATCTTACTAACGATGTTTCGTTAATCTATGTACGTTTTATTCATATGCACGGAGAACAGAGATAAATACATACATATATATAGGTTATAGATATAGAAGACTTTCGGACGCCAGTACAGTGGATTTTATTTGCGCAGCATTATTTTTGCTCCTAAAATTGTCAAGACAAACCAAAAAAGCGATTGAAAAAATAAATTTGTAAAACGGCAAAAATAAATGCAAAATTACTTTTTTAGGGCAAAATATAAAGCAAAGAAAAATTTTATTTAACTCAATTAAATGAAATCCTTTGCTTTAAAAAATAAACCAACTTAAAGAATCATGACGATTTTGAGAATTATATGTATTTTTACATGTAATGTCGGTTGGGTATCGTTACCTAAATGCATAATGACACAAAAACAATTACTTGATGACCTCTATATTAGTTACAAATGATAAATGCAAGTGGTTGTTTGTTAATAAAAACATTATTATCTGTTTTATGGAAAAGTAAAAGTAAATAAAACTGCATAAATTATCGGCGACTACATTCAGGGCAAATGTATGTAGTACATATATATGAACATGCATTTCAATATGAATATCGATATGTTTGTGTAACGCATTGTTGAACAAGAACATTTTCAAAGTTTTTCTTGCTACAAAAATTTAGACTATTATTAATAATAGTGAATCCAAAAAAAAATATATCCACTTTACGGAGATCGCTTCATCAATCATTAGATATTCAGACCTCATTGCACTTTTTGAGTTTTGTATTTGTACTTACCACCCCATTAGGTCACTTACATAATTGGCGTACACATCGATATAATTTATACTTATTCTGCCTTCGGAATTATTAAATATCGGTTCTTTTGTTGGGCAAACTTTCATTTAAATACCCCCGATTTGAGGGATAAAATTGGTACCATTGGAATGCTGGAGGCCTCCTTTTTAGAAATACTCACTTTTATATGCCGGATCCGTTTTTACGATACGATACTTAGTATTAACGCTTTTTCCGAAAGAGCTGTATGTTTTACCTTTTTAGGAAATTTTCATAATTTATACCATCCGGTTACACTAGCATTAGTGTGTTCGCGCGGAACTTCTTTCGGACACGCTCCAAAAAAATAACCCTCATAACTTTGGCTACGCTGGCCCAGGGTCTCCCCAAAAACACCAGTAAAAACATTTTCTTTTAGGAGGCATGAAACCAGTCCCTCATAATTGTTAAACTCCCGGCGAATAAAACGAAGAAAATAAAAAGCAAATGTATTTTTTTTACATTGAAATTCGCCTCTAACATTTATGTTTTGTGTTTGCTTTTAAAATCTGGTAACACATTCTTTTTACTTCAATGTGCGTGCCACCATTTAGGATAATAGTTAAATTAAAAGAATATTGGATAAATAAAATATAAGTGATTCTCTATGGAAAACAAAACAAAAACAATTAAAGTGATTTGACGAATAAATTGTGTTCTTTACTAAGCAAGTAAAAAACATTAAGACTAAATATCTTTAAAACTAGAACGCTTCCGCACCTAAAAGTAGGTATGTATATTTGAAAATTGGAGTACTCCAGCTTTCCATTGGTACCACTTTTAATCCCCGAAACGGATGGCTCTATTTCTAAGTCTGTCTCTTTTTATCATTTTGTTTCCATGCCATTACCTTAATACATACATACATATTTGTATGCACATACATACACGAACTATGTATACTTTTATATATGTAAGTGAGCACGATTTGTGCTTTGTGAAAGGCTGCTGCGTTTTCGTCTACGTGTCGAGAGCAATGTTTTCGTTCATTTTACGTCTATTTACTTGTTGCCTGTTTTCCTTTACGCTTTTGTTTACTTGGTTGTTTGCTCTGTTTACTACTGCCAGCAGTTTCTACTGAGCTGGACATTGTAGTTGTTACCGTAGTTTCAAATGGCAATTGGCCACCTCTGTCATGGCCAACTGCCCCCGCATCCGTAGTCCCTTGAGTTTTACTCGCTTCTGATTTCAATACCACTGCTCGCGGAATGCCACTTTTTATCACATTCGAAATTGTAGTCGTTGTGGTGGTGACAGTCCCGTCGGGATCGGTGGTAGTGGTTGTTATAACACTCTCGCCTGTTTGTTGATCGAATATTTGCTTAAGATCGCCGCCGGCATGAAGAAGTTTATTAAAAAGTGCCTCGCCAGACTCTTCTTGGGACTGCTCAGAACACTTCGGTTTGCTATCGGCCTTGTGTATGGTTTCAACAACAATAGTTTTCTTGCCGCCATCTTCATCTATGACAGTCTTCGTCTCTACAGTGCGTGAAATACCCTGTTTGGGACTTTCGGTGGATGCACCACATCCCTCTTCGTTTTTCAGGCATACTGCTCCTGCCATTGCGTCGTCATCGGCCAGAAGATTCTCAACAGATTTGCGCAGTTGTTTTGTGATCTCTTCAAGCTTGCGTTGTTCTGCTTGCAGTTTTTCGACCGTATGCTCGATGTCCTTGTCTACATATTTTAGTTCGGCAGTGGCCTCGGTAGTAGATTTATCTAACACATTCTCTGCCTCCTTAATGGTAGTATAAGTTTGAGATTTTTGCAATTTCAGCGGGGCTTCCGTGTTGCGATTTTCAATAACTTGACACCCGTCGACCAGTGTTACATTTACAGCCTCTTCATCATCTTCTGCTTCAGCATCGTCATCCGAATCACTCGAATCTAAGGAATCTTCTTCCTCCTCCTCGTCATCATCATCCTCATCCGCATCGCTTTCATCGTCGTCTAAGCCTCCAGCCAATTTTTCAATTGTGTTCCTATTACTGTCTTTTATTAGTTCCTCCAGTAGGCGCTCATTTCCATTATTATCACCCACGCCTCTTGGTGCCAAACGCGTACCGCCTCTGATCACTGTACCACGCGCTACCGCATAATCGACCTCGTCGTCTTCATCCTCATCAGAATCGCCGTAGGCCATCTCTTGCTGCTCATCATCATCTTCTTCAAGACTTTTCTGTAAATTCAATTTAACACGTTCATTCTCTAATAGCTCCACCAACACGTTTTTCATTTTCGCATTCAGTGAAAGTTCCTGTGGCGGCTGGTGTAGCAACTGTAAATTTTTTTGTTTTTCCTGTGTAGGTAAAACAAACGTATCACTACGGAGCACTCCCGCTGAAGCAGCAGCCAATTGTTCAGTCTCAGAGTCATTATCGTGTTCATCTTCAATGCAAGCCGCTTGCTGAATCTCAACTCCCTTTGGCCGCAGTCTTGCCTGCGTTTCGTTGTCGAAAATTGGATATTCGTATTCGATTGTCTTACCCACCACAATGCTTTGTACCTGTCCTTCTCCGGTTATCAGCGGATTTACCACCTCCACAATAGTGTGTGTTGTGGTTTCACTCTTTGTTGGAGATGAAGAATGTGTCGATGTGAGAGTTCTATCTGCCGGGATCATCGGGGCTGTTACAACAACTTCCTTAGCCAATGTCTGATGTATTTTTATTGGCATAGGCTGTATTCGCAACTTCGATGCAGACGCCATGCTATCAATGGATGCGGTACTGAACTTGCCAGAGCCGTCGAAATCATCAAAAGTTGCGAATTCGTCATCGGTGCGTAGAAATAGTTTTTCATTATTTGCATGAACGGTCACTATGGAGGCGGCATCTTCCTCTTCGTCGTAATCGTCATCATCACCATTATCATCATTTGCTTTATCTACCTTGTCACCGTCTTTATCGTCGTCATACTCGTCGACCGTGTCCAGCAACATTGTTTCCCTTAACAGCTCTGGTGGCTCTTCATCCTCTAACGTCTCATCGGCAACTACAACAATTGCTTGTGTTGCTGCTGCCGCCACTGTTTTTGCGTCTTTGGCACTTGCTCCGTAAGTTGATGATGTAAGCGGACTGCTGCTTTTAACATTTCTGCTATCGCTTCCATCGTCATCGTCACTTTCTGGATCTTGCAACTCTAATGAGATTATCTTCTCCTGGCAAGTTTCCACCTGAATTGATTGGTAAGTAGATGGAAATAATCGAATTCTCTTTAAATATTTTTTAAATTGCTTTTATTTTCTCATTTTAGCCCGATAAAATTTGTTGTGTAGTTAAAGTAGTTAGTTCACAAAGATAAGATTTTTAAGATAGTAAGGTGGGAAAGGGGTGTGTATAATCGATAGTAATGATATTAGCAAAGTGAAAGCAAAGCGTTAGATATACTTAAACAGAGGCCAAACGCTATTTACCGAACAAATCACTACTTTTTAAGCATATTTACAAATGTGCGTATTATATATCGTCACCTGAAATGCAAAAAGACGTAACAAACATCATCGTTGAAATGCAAAAAGTCATAACTAATAAAAAATTCAAAATTGACTTTTTGATTTATATGATGGATTTCATCGAACCACAACTCCCCACATCATTTTATGAAACAAAAATTTAATATTAGTTACGACTTTTTACATTTCATTAACGACGTTGTTACGCCTTTTTGCATTTCAGGTGACGATATGTATGTGTGTGTATGTATTTATGTACTAGTGTATAGAGTCAGACCGATTCCCAATTTTTGGCCGATGCCGATGCCGATTAATCGGCCTTAGGACAAAGACGCGGCCGATGTCGATGCCAATTCCTTAAAAAAAATTACATACCTGAAAATAATTCATTCAAGAAAAATTTGTTTGATAAACTTTTATAATAAAAAATAAAACATAAAAAAATTACATTACAAAACAAATAATCTTCATGAATCTATTCATTTATTTATGTAGCTTCTGCAGACTATACAGGTGTTGTATTGAATACAATTTGTTAATAAACAGTAACCGTAAATTTTTAATGAAAAAGGCATTTTCGTAACGTAAACGATTTAACAATCCAGTAAAAAGAACCCGAAGAATTTAGGAATTTAGGTATTAATTCAAGGATAATCGTAACAATAACTCTACTAGTGTGTTTATATTGTTTAAGTAAAAACTCGATAACGGAGAATGGGTGCACTAGCTGCAAGCTACTTTAATTGACGGGCACAGTTGCATTTAAAATTGGGAACTTATAGTAAGTAATATTGCAAATCATAAATAATGGGAGCATGCAACTGTGGCAGCTTTATTTTCATAAATACAAACCAAAACGAGTTTTAAAATAACATCGGAATGGAATAATAACTCTTTGGAAACGAAAAACGGTTAACATCAGTTGAACACACTCTCGCAACGAAACGATACTATTGTATGTGTATAATAGGGATGTTACGAATATTTGTAATCACATTCGATTAAGCGAATGATCCACCACATTTTGAACATTCGCATCGACATTCGCAAGTTCTGCTAAAAGTCTTTTAAGCAAACAAGAAGGAATTTTATATTCCTCGAGCGAAAATGAGACATTAAGGCTCAATTGAAGGCATGTCTTGAAGAAAACCGAGCCTGTTCTTTTGCAAAAAACTCAAGCTACTAACTATGAAAATCGACGAATAACTAAAGAAGCTGTGAATGGTCAAATGAAAATGTGCAATCATTTTTTGTACGAAATACTTTTTTGTCCACGAAATAATGTTACGCCATTTCGTACTTGGCCGTACTCGTACTACATGGTGGATGAGTTTGAAGACCGAATTAAGTAGGGTGGGGCTAAAATTTATTTACGGCGTATTATTATTCGTTAATCCTTACATATGATACATACAATTTGAAAGTCATGATTTTTGTTTTGACCGTTATAAAATTTTGCTTACAAATGTTTACAAAGTTTCCTAACAAAAACTAAAAACATTTGCCAAGGTTTAATTGTAATCTTACGTGAAAAAAACGTCAATAACTTTATAAGTTCAGGAGGTTTGACATGGGGGGACAAAACTACATCAAGTGCCATTAAAACATATTAAATTTCCTACTGACTTATAGGCAATTTTGACCACTTTGTGAAAAATTTCATGAAAATGTTAAACTTTAGGGCCTTTCAGCCACGTCTTTCTGTTGTCCGATTTTAAAAATTTTTGGCACGGCAAACCAAAGGAACATTCGTTCCTTGTTGCTTTGTAGTTTAACAGAATATATTTCCATGCAACTAAGGCGGAGTCTAATGTACATATATTAAATAATTTTTAACTTGCTTCCGTTCTATTTATTGTGCTAATGTATTTATACCCACAGATAAATAAGTATGTATGTATACACATGTAAATAAGTATATGTTTAGTATATCCACAGGGTAACTACATTAGGGTGTTCAAGAAATTTTTAAGAGAAATTTAATATGAATACCCTCTAACTATTTTTGGGTATGCAGTTACATGATCTATGAAATTCTAGTAAAACAAGTGCAAGTTTTAAGTTGCTGAACACTGAAATTGCTTTTTAATATTTTATTTTTTGCAGACGGCCGTAGGATCTCTTTGACATGAGGTTTAACATTTAGCTTAGAATTTTTTATGCAAGTATAGTATCTAATGTAAAGTAATGGTTTTCTACCAAAAAATGTTACTTCCTCATTACCCGCTTCGCTCAAACAGGAAAAAGGAGGCAACGGGAAGGCACAAGAAACACCAAGAGTTCATTTATGGTGGGAAACCAAATTTGCTTATTTTGGAGGATGAGGCAAAGCTAGTGTACCTACAATTGACATTTTTACGTAAGTACACCCCGCTTCGCTTGAATAGGCGCTTTATTTTTCTTCACGAACCGGGCTTATAATAATTCATTGTAATGAAGAAGAGCAAGAATGGATCAAGCAGGAACACTTTTACCTCTAGAAAATACGAAAATTGTGGTGTCGAGGATCCATGGCTTTGAAGGCCATCTATTTGGAGTGAAATTAAAATAAATGGGGATAACTTTGGCTGTCAAAGTCGGCGAACAGCATCGAGAGAAAAAATATTAACAGGAATATTCTGACTGTTACCGAACATATCGAACCCTATTTGCGATTTTAAAAGGTAAATTTTACACGAGAGGTTTTTTTTAATTCTCCCTTAAACAGTGTAAAAATTTGATTGGATTTAAATGGACAACAACATTATTGGATGCTAGCTTTCCAATGGACTATTTATTTTTTGCATGGCTTATTTTCTAAAGGTAAGATGGTGCTTAAAATAATTTTCCTCAACATGCTGAGAGGAAAGTTATGAAAGAATTGGCGCTTGCGATAGTTCTTAGTTTATATAATCTGGAAATTTATAAACGAAGGAGTGCGGGTACTTTAAGGATTGTTGGAAGAAACTGAATTTTAAGTAAATTAAATATAAACAGTGTCAATCAGCAGAATAAGCTCAACATATTTTCAACTTTAACTGTTCGGTGAATTTACTAGATTGTTTTTAGTTACTTTTCTTCGTGGATGCAGTGTTAACGCTCATTCAATTCTCTAAAACAAACTAAAACGACAACATTTGCGCTATTTTTTGGTATTTTTTGACGTTTTTTTTTAAGAATGAGAAAAAGTATAATTTAACCAGAATAGGTTCAGTGCCAAAATCTTCAGACTAGGGAGATTTTTGGCAAGCTTTGAAATCGGTTATTATATATCTCGACTAGTCGTGTGTTTTAAACGCAGTTATTGGAGAAAAAAATTGCTAAACGAAAACTTTTAGGCTAGAGATTAAAATTAAATACTGCAAGTTTATAAAAAGAAGGATGAAGTGTAAAAGTTATGGTAGAATCAAAATCACATAAGCAATTTGAAAGGTGTAAAACGGCAAAATTAACACCCTTATTCCAGAACCCGAATTTTCGTAGTTCGTAATTCGTAGGTACGTTACGAAAGACGAAATATCGACATGCTGCAACCCTTGCCGAAAAATGTGCAGCATTGCCAGCTATCAGTTGTTTTTCGAAGTCAGCTGTATAAAGGAAAACAAAGATTCTTCCAAGCCATTGAAAACATGCACTTTGTTGGGTCCTCCACCTGTTGCGCTTGCTTCTGCCTTCGGCCGCGCTTAGGGATTATATCCCTTACTAAGTAGAATTCTCCTTTATGTTTTGCCCGAGAAGACGGGCATCCGCATGTCAAAGGCATACAAGATTTATTGTGCATATAACTCCGGCTACGCCATCCACTTTGTCTTTGCGCAGAACCTTCATCGAAATTTACAAAAAAAATAGCTCGGAAATTTGGAACCTTTGTTTTAAATTATAGTCCCGTGTAGTCAAGAGTATGTTAAATTTTTTAGATTCGAGTGATGCGTTTGGTTACAACAACCCAAAATCATTGTACAAATAACTGTACCGTACCCAAGTTTCTCGATAAGAGGCAACAAACATTCTTTTTGTTCGTTCATATAAAGCAGTGGATTAAAATATACGTATATGCGAAAATCAAATGTATCTGTTTAAAAGAACACCACTAATATTTCCTGCAAAAACACATTCGTTTTCATCTCGCTTCCGACACAGAATCGTTTTCGTAAAAAATTACGCAAAAAAGCAGTCAATTTCTTGCTCGTTCGTTTTTAGGCATGCCATTCCATTGCAGCATATCATTTCCACGATTCGTAGCAAAATCCGAATTCGAAAGTGTTGCAGAATAGTGGTGTAGTTCCATATGGCCGTATAAGCTGGTGTTAAGATGGCAATTCGAATTCAGTTGCAATTTTTTGTATACGAGGCAGTATTCCCACTGTGGTGCTATTGGAGCTAGATTTAGCTCCTTATTTTTCAATGTAGCTCCGAAAGCTGGGCTTTAGCTCGTAGATCTTTTTTTTTAGCTCTTTTCAAAATTTCTAGCACTTCTTTAGCTCGAGAAAGTTTTAGTTGTATTTGGTAATATATTAAAATTACAAATCTGTAAGTGCATTGTACAAGTGTTGACTAAAATTTATTTGGCTTTGGCGATCTCAGGTTACTTCGTACCTTCATATTATTCTATTTCGATTAATACTTAGAAAACTTTCATTCCTAATGCAAATGGCGCGTAAAAAAGTGTGTCGTGGAAACTGGGTAATTCAAGAATTACTTGGCGAATTACTTAGAGAGCGAATTACGAATCGTGGAAATAT